AAAGTTATGAAAAATGGTTTGGAAATTTTATTAAGCAATTATTATGAAGATTTAAGAGTTTATATTTTATGAGGAATTTAATATTTATATAGTTTAACATTTATTTATTATTTTATTAAGAGTTTGTATAAAAGTTTTATTAAGTATCTGTGTACAGACCTATGAGGTCTCTCCCATTTAGCAGAATTTTGAAGAGAAATTTATCTCCAACTTTAGTAGAACTTTAAAGAGAAATTTTTCTCCAACAAGAATTTTGAAGAGAAATTTATCTCCAACCTGCATGTAAAAAATAATTTTAAAAACTTTCTTTTTCTCATTAGTAACTTAAAATACAGCAAGCTTCTAATTTTTTAAATTGTTTTTATTTTATAAGTTAAGAATAATGGTTAAAGATTGTTAAAAATTGCTCAACACACACTTGAAAATATAAAAGTATATCTATACAAAATAAATTTCAGCTCAGTCAGTGGCCAAGTTTGAACATTTTTAAGTTATTTGTCAGAGTAATAAATCATTAAAAAACTTTTTAAGTCAATAGAGGTATTTTAGTGGACAAATATCCAGTGGTATAAAAATTTTTTCAAGTCTCCATCGTAAACATTTTCAAAACATAACAGCTATGTGTATATATATATAAATATATATATATATATATATATATATATATATATGCAAATAATATATATATATATATATATATATATATATATATATATATATATATATATATATATATATATATATATATATATATATATATATATATATATATATATATATATATATGTAAATAATGTATATATAAATATTTATATATACATTATTTACATATGCATTAGGTTTGAAGCAGAGGCAGTTGTTCCATCTTGTTCGGTAAAAGATGGATGGTTATTTTGGCCAACTTGTGTTCATGCAATGAAAGCTACCTATAATAATTTTCCAATCTTCCAAGCTACCTATAATAATTTTCCAATGAAAGCTACCTATAATAATTTTCCAAACAAGCTTAGACTTAAAAGAGTAATAGTAACTGGAGGTTATTAAATTTCACAGTAATTATTGCTATTTTAATTGTTTTATATGAATAAAAAAACTATTATAATTTTATATTAACGGTGAAGTACTATATCAAATAAACTATATTATTTTTATTTCGGAATAAGTAATATTTTGAATCTGTTTATGGTATTATTACTGGCTAGATATGTATTGTAATCTGTTTACACTTATTCTACATTTTTGTTTTTACATATTTTTGTTTATATTTATTTTACTAAATAATTATTAATAGATAAAGAAGTATGTGAAGGATTTAATTTCAAGACTGAAAAGGACTCCAAAGAAGAATGTAAGTAATTATGTTTGTGAATAATTTTGTTTCTCTTTGGATTTAACTTTTCTTTGTTTTTTATATAGTAAAGAATAAAAAAAAATCTAATATTAACCATTTGTCAAAGCTGATTTCAATAATACTGTCTAAATTTTTTGACTTGTGGTAGTTTGGTTACCAGTATAAATTTATTTAGTAAAGTTCTGGTGGATCAAAGATTAAGGAATGATTTGGTTTTAACTGGTTGAAGTAAGTTTTATTTAGTTAAATAATGTATGGATAAATGACTATTTTTAGTTGCAAAATTTATTTATATATATATATATATATATTTATGTATATATATATATATATATATATATATATATATATATATATATATATATATATATATATATATAATTATATATGTATATATATATATATATATATATATATATATATATATATATATATATATATATATATATATATATATATATATATATATATATATATTATTGTTATTATTATTATATATACTAGCTGGGCGGACCCGTAAAATACGGGTCTTTACCGAACCGACCATTTTTATACTTATCTGATCATTTCTATAGCTATCAGGACGTAAAATAAGGGTCTTAGTAAATCTATTCCACACCGACCTTTTCTATACTTATTCCTTACCTCAATATTTTTTTAAAACCGTTTTAAAAACTATGTACATATAAAAAACTATACTTACTTTTTGATATGACAAAAAAATTTCATTATATAACGTTATAATGTTCTTTAAAAAACTTTAAACGCTTTTAATATTATGCCGATTATAAAGATTTTAATAAGAAAAAACGTAAAAAAGACTACGAACTTTGAAAAATGCTAAAACATTCAGCACGTGATGCCGTTAAAGTACGCCTTAGTTAACGTTCATAACATATACACATCTAATTAGATTTTTTTTAAATTCAGTTGTTCCAAACTTGGTTTTGAATTTTTAATTACACTTCTTATGCGTCTTAAATTATCTCAAATTCTAAATAGAGAATACGTTTATGGGCTAATTGGTAGCCGCGCAACACTTAGACAGATATAGTCATCTCACCCCGGGAGTTCATATTCCAGTGACCTTTTTTTTCATCCCAACTTACAACAAAAATAATTAAAAATAAATGTTATTATTGAAACAGTTTTAAACATTTCTTCCATTTTTTCTTTGAACTTAATTTTATTCACGGTAAATATACTTTTGGTGTTTGTAAGCGTTTTTTTACGTTTAGTATTGGTAGGAATTATTTGCACGCACGTATTTTAAACAATTATTTTTACTGTTTCATCTAAAAATCATATGTAATTTAGTTTTATAATTTTTTAAATATAATATATATAATTTAAAATATTTTATTAACCCTATTTAAATAAGTATCAAAACTCTTTTCTTTAATTTAAAAGAATGCCTGCCCAAACCTAAACGCTCAGTTGATGTATCTCCGCTTTGCTTTTATTTGTTAACCGTTAGAAAAACATTACAAAAAGAAACATAATAGAGTCCATTAGTTTATAGCATCCGAGTAGACTCTTCCAATATTAAACAGAGTATCTTACAATTTTATTGGTTTTCTAAATTCTGTCATAGTTGCGCACTCGGTTTAGAATATTTAACGGGGGCGTAAATAAGTAACTGTAAAATTCTAAATATTTTTATTATTTTAAATTAAATAGTTTTAACGTTTTATTATTTTGAAAAATAATAAGTTCAATAAAATAATTTATTTTAAAAATAAATTTAAGATTTTTAAAGTTTTTTTAAATAAGAATGTTTTTTTTTAAAACCCCCTCACTGTTTTAAAAAAATTCAAGGTCGCCGCGTGGCAAGTTCAAATCATCAGCTTGCTTTTTTTAATAAAATTATTGTTATTTAAAATGCAAAACAAAACAACTTTATAGTTCTAAATATTTACATGTTATATACCCAATTTCTTTGCGCTAATACGACTTCAAATAACATGACAAATAACAAATTTAAAATTATAATAAATAAAAGTTTACGTAAGGCTAACCACGGCATTTTGACGAAAATTTCAAAAATATATAATAAATAAAAGACTTTGTAAATCGATCAAAATTAAAGAGACGTTGCCGCAATGCTGTTTTTAAGTGAAAGTAAAACTGTAAAACTTGACATGTTTTTGTATGTTTTAACATTTCATATTTTGAAGTTTACGTAAGTTAGATATTTGCATACACTTTTGTTTACGTTTATTTATCAAAAAGTGCTGAGACTCTTCCTCGCCATAACTTTGGTTGCAATAGTTGCCATGGGTTTGTCAAACACGCTCGAAAGAGCGCTACTAACACTATTAAGTTCGGCAATAATATATAGAGAAGATAGCTTTTAGTAAATGGTATGAATATACATTTGATAAAGTATTTTTGATAATGTATGAATAGACGTATTACTAATGGTATTAGTAATACGTCTTTAGAAAAAGTAAACGCTTTTAAAAAATGATTAACGATTAACAATTTTTAAACCAGTTATAACAGGAAATCTACCTATAAAATGAAGAAAAATATTGTTATATAAAACACTGAATACACATATAAAAGTTGTTTAAAGTTATTTAAAAGTTGTCTAAATGTTGAAAAATTACATAATAAGATGTAAAAAAATATATAAAAGGTGACGAAACTTAGTCAATTATCAAACACTAAATAAGAAACTTACTTTGTGAGATCGCTTTTGTGGAAGTCTCTAGTATTTGATTGGAAGGCTGGAAACACTCTTTATTTAAAAAGCTATTTTATCAACAATGCTAAAGATAAAAAGTCACAGTGAGATAAAAAAATTAGGCATTTATTCAAAAAAATATTTCTTGGCTTTTAGTGAATGATTAGAAAGAGTAGTTTCAGTAATGAAGCTAGCTAATAATCATTTTTAACGATAGACACCAGCGTGAAGGTAAGCCAAGCTGTCTATCAACACAAAACATCACAACAGAAACATTACACAATGACAAACAAAAACACCAGTGGTGTAGACAGGACTTTTGTTGTTTTATAAGAAATTTAAAACCTGTTAATGAATAAGATTATTATTATATGCTTAAAAAAAATACTTTTTTAACTAATTGGCTAAATTCAAGGGAGGAAAGCAAACCTTTTTAAAACATATTTGTTTTCAAGCCCCAACCACATCCATATTTTACAAATTATTTGAATTTGACAAACATGAACACAATTAAGTTTAGTTGAAAGAGTCTGAAAGTAATGAAAGAGTTTGAAAGTAAATAGTCTGAAAGTAATGAAATAGTCTGAAAGTAATGAAAGTAATAAAAGAGTCTGAAAGTAATGAAAGAGTTTGAAAGTAATTAAAGAGTCTGAAAGTAATAAAAGTAATAAAAGAGTCTGAAAGTAATGAAAGAGTCTGAAAGTAATGAAAGAGTCTGAAAATAAAAGTAAAACCTGAAGCATCAAAAAATCCTGCCTACGCTACTGAATAATACACAACATATGACATTTGTAAGTACACATTACACAATGTATTCAGATATTATGTGTTTCCAAAATAATTAAAAAAGCTAGACAACACAACCTAGTTCAACACTTGTAACACCGCTTGGCACTAAACGCTGCCAAGTAACACCACAATTTAGTAACACCGCTTGGCATTAAGTGCCAAGTAACACCACTAATTAGTAACACCACTTGGCTGGCAAGGATCACAATCTTGCACTACACGTTGCCAAGTAACACCACTTTTCAAACATGGAAACAACATAATATAAACTTAAACACATATAAACAAACATATACAAACACAAACATCTATATATAAGTAAAAACATATATTCACATATATAAACATATATAGCAAAGAAAAAAAACAAACAAACTTGTCAAAATTATAAATTAAGAACATTTGTAAACACAACATTATTTGTGTAATATTTGTTAAATGACATACCTTGTAATGCATGTTTATCAGCTTTAAAAAACAAACTATTAAAAGATTTTGTTCTTGAACATGCAACATATAATTGGCCGTGTGAAAAGCAAGGCTTTTTGAGATAAACACCAACTTTATCAAATGTTTGACCTTGACTTTTATTTATGGTCATTGAGTATGCTAACCTAACTGGAAATTGACGACGTTTAAGTGTAAAAGGTAAATTTGAATCTGATGGAGCTAATTGAACTCGAGGAACAAATACCCTGTTACCAGCTGATACACCTGTTAGAACCTCACCATCAATGTAATTGTTGTGTAGTGCACGCACCATCAAACGTGTTCCATTACAAAGTCCACCTTTGAGATCTAAATTTCTAAGTAGCATTATAACAGCACCAATTTTCAACTTTAGGCAATGAACAGGCATACCTGATGGAGTCAAAGTATTTAAAAACTCAACTGGAAAATTATAAATTTCATTATGATCATCAGTTTCAATGCTATCTGAACTTAAATAAGTTTTAACATCACCCGGTAATCGATGAAGGACTTCTTCATTTATTGCCAATGAATCAACATTTGTTGGTGTTAAAATAGCACGTTTTGCATAATCAGCTTCTTCTGCACCACCAAAAATCTTTTCCACAATAGATTCATTATCATTGAGAAAACACTGCTCAGGTATTTCAATACACCCTTGCAAAGGATCTTCAGGCTTGACAGGTAATGTTCCACTTCCAAGCCTTAAAAGCCATTGAGAAAATTCCTCTTCTCCTATCTGAACCCTCATATTTTCAGTTAATGAAAACCTTTGCACATATTGCCAATGTTCAGAACACTTTATACATGATTCTACAACATCTGCTGGTCGACCTCTCTTCACAACTGGAAGTATTTGTCGAAAATCTCCACCCATAAGAATAACTTTACCACCAAAAGGAAACTTATTATTACAAATATCTTGTAATAACTTATCAATGGCACTCAAAGCATGTTTGGGTATCATAGATGCTTCATCGAGTAAATATAAACTAACTTGTCTCAGGAATCTACCATGAATGGAGTTTGGAGTTACATTACATGTGCTAGTTTCCAAAATTGGAACAGGAAGTTTGAATAAGCCGTGCAATGTGCATCCATTCTTAAGAAGAGTTGCAGCTATTCCTGTCCATGCAGCTGTTGCAGTTCTAATATGCCTGCTGCGTGTTTCAGCAATTAAATAATTGTAAGTAAATGTTTTACCACAACCGGCAGGCCCATCCATAAAGAAAAATCTTGAATGCTTATTTTCATTATTAGGTTCTTCACTAAGTGCAGCAAGGATTGCATCAGCTACATTACGCTGATTATCGTTTAATAATGGTCTAACTCGATTTGCTTCATCAATAAATACCTGATTTTGTTAAAAATTTTGTTAAAAATGTCCGAACTTAATTGTTTGACATTTTCACGACGCAACCGAAACTCAGAATTTAAAGAAAATTTTCGTTTTACTCCGAAACTTAGCATTTAAGATTCTAGCATGTTAAATAAAGCTTACACACGTTTTCAAGGTTCACTGTTTTACAAAAACATCAATCTAAAATAGGGGAAATAAACAATAACCAAATTTCGGGTGCATCCTTGTAAAGTCCAAAAATTATTTTAAATATTTTTTATTTAATTAAATTTTAGAACATATGCAACTGCAACCATGGCCCCCACATCTTGAAACCGGACCCCATGCTAGAGCTCTCTGCGGCCCCCCCCCCAACCCACACACACACACACACATACCCTTATTGCATTGCATACAATAAAAATTTTTTTTTTCTTTGGCCACAATAAACTTATAAAGTTTTTTATTTAAGAAACCGCTTTTGCTTTCACAATCTAAATCATTTTTGTATTTATTTAAAGTTTTTTGCTTTTAAAAAAGATTAGGTTTTTCGATGTTTAAATGTTATTGAAAAGTTAAAAATCAAATTGTCAATTTTTCAATTTGATCTTTCAACTTAATGAGACTGAAAATTTTAAAGATTTAAAGCCGAACCCCATTTATCTCCGGATCCTAGTGCTAGAGTACCAACTGCACCTCCCTTTGTGGGGAGCCATGACTGCAACTATACGTAGTATATAGTATAATTATATTGTGGCTAACTTCTAAAAAATTCTGAAACTTCTTCGTCGCCTAAAGACATACAAATTTATCTATATATAATCTCTTGATAAAATAATAAACTAAATATTTCAACATTATTTTCGTATCATCTCTTTCTATCTCTTTAATTTATTAATTTTATATAAAATAAAAAGAATACTCTAACCTTCTGTATTTTGGCTGCTCATTTCTAAAATATAATCTTAATGTTTATTCTTGTGTCAAAAGCATAATAACTTTATTAGTTCCGAATTAAGATTAATTTTTTAAATGGATGATTAAAATAAGTAAACTTGTAAACGATAGAGATGAAACTTACTTGTAGTTCTTTGCTGTATTTTAGTTTGCAGTTCCTTGTTGTATAATCGATTTGAATGAGAGAAAGCATGGCCAAGTTTTAGTGGTTTTAGAGTACAGTTGGCGCACATATCATAATGCAAAAATCAGATGATTTTTAAATCTATTAATTGAGCTGTTTTTATTATCGGATTTGGTGGATTTAATTAGATAACCGCAAGGTATTTTTACAGTCGTTTAAGAGTTGGCGCATATATCGAAATACAAAAATCATTTAATATTTCTATTTTATATTTGAGCATTCCTATTACCGGATTTGGCGGAACTAAAGTTATGACGTAATTTTAGCATTTTTGGGTTTTCTGTTTGTGTTAAGTTTTTTTTTATTAAGTTTCAGACTATAATTTTTTTTTCATACCATCCGATACTTGTTAGGACTCTTGCCCAGTTAATTTTCAAGAAAATTTCAGTTTGCATGTAAAACTTTTTTTCTATTAGAGAAAAAGTTGTCTCTTAAATGCGCAGACTAAACTAATTTATCCAAAACTAAAGTATCTCTACCATGACATATGCGCAACAAATTTCAAAGTGTTCTCAGGTTTTTAGAAATTTTACACAGCGTTTTAAAAAGTTCTCTCCCTTTAGTTTGTTATAATATATAACATCTTTATATATATGTAATGTAATGCATATAATATCTATAGGCCTTTAAAAATGTTTTACTTTGTTTTCTAGAAATTTGGAAAATATTTAAAAAAATTATGAGTGTAAGCGAAAGGATTTTAACCCAAGCGAAGCAATTCAACCACTTTGGCATGCTGTATTATCTTTTAACACTGTTTCATAAACAGAAGACTTATTAAACTTTATAAAACGGCATATAAAATAAGGAGATGAAATGCTATAAAATAAGGAGATGAAATTTTCAAGTTAAAGTAAATCTGTAAAAATTTATATTATCTACTTTATAAAAATACTGATTACTAATTACAGAACATGAAGTTTACATGTTAGATATATACATTACCGTCATAATTACTCGAATGGTCATACTTTTTTAATATAAGATATCAAACTTTAATTAACTATTGGGAGAAAAACTGAAAACAATAATTACCTGAATTATGTTATCTTCCTATTTATTAGGTCTACAAATAAAATCAATATAAAGTTAGTTTATAATTTACTTGCCTATTAATCACCCTTATCAACAATAACCGTCATATATATTCTTGGCATTCTACTTAACGACCAAGTCAATTCTATGTCACAAACTAATAAGTTTTTTTCAAAAAAGAAATAATAACACCACTGTAAATCAATTTATTTATACATGATAACGAAACAAAATATATAAAAGTTTTATTTACAAAAAAAAATTCAACTACATCTGCATTATTAACTAACTACAAAAATACTAATTAAAGATATAGCGCAATATTTTCCCACCGCTATCTTCTTATATTTTATTTTTTACAGGATCCATACTAAGGATCCTTCTCATATTTTATTTTTTACAGGATCCTTATTAAGAAAGAAAAAGAAAAAAAAATGGCGGAGGAGAGCGAGCTTTTGCTCTAAATTCGGGCCCACAACTTATGTGCCTCGCGAACTGCAATATGCTGAAAAAGCATCGTAAGATATATCTACGATGAAAAATTATCATATGATAGAATTAAAAACATCTTTATATAATAATCTTTATATAATAATACTACAAACCAATTTGCCTGCAGCTATTTTTACATAGCATTTTTAAAAACGGGCAAAATTTGAAATGAAAAGGAATTAATAACAAAATTAATGGAAAAGTCAATTAAACAAAATAACGAAACATAAAAGCTATAAGTGCAAACAAATTTTGTAATTTGACTGAAACACAAAATTATTTTTACCTTGATGGCAACAGACTAAATTCTTTATAAACTATTAGCTAATGATCAACAAAGTAAATTTTAAATAATTAAAATTTACTTAGTTAAAACCATATTTAACAGTAGACCAAGTAAACTAATGATAGTTGCTAAAGTACCAAAGTAGAACTAAAGAAATAAAATAACAAAATTTAAAAAGTTTGTAATACAAAATAATTTATAATACATAAAAAAGATTAACTGCAGTTTAAAGTATTCACAAAATCTTAACTGACAATAAAATACCATCTTGCCGTGGATAATCATAAACAAAGTCACAGCAGCAAATCATTTCAATATTTTGCATGTTCTACTGACTAAAATTTTGATAGTGTTTAATGCAGAAACAGAATCTTTCACCAAAAATTTACTTAATATTAAAAAAATAGAAACAAAATTTGGAATTGAAAAAAACGCAAATGTAAAATTTTTAATAAGTAAATTTTAAAAGATTCTTTTAAAATAAATTAACTTAATAAAATCTTACCTGAATATCAAACACCTCCAGACAATAACACTCTACTAAATTATTAGATTCATAAAAAATACGATTGAATATCTAACACTATTTAAAACCAATAATAATAAAAAACAACTTACTTATATTTAAAATAAGGTCAACATTAGCTTCTATAAAATTAACAGCCTGTCAAGATTCATCCCCTACTAAACAGACTGTTTCATTAAGTAAAGCATTAAAATCTTTAGCAACTTCAAAAACAAATTAACAAATACATACTACATATAAATAAAAGCATACTTAACAATTATATCATTTATATGATAATAGAATCTATGATATCTCAAGAAATACAAAACTTACCGCTTGCAAATCTAAAATGCCTTGTGCATAACCAGTTAATAGCGGTCTGACTCTTTCAAAACTATAAACACAGTATAATACTATTTCGATAGTTATCTGAATTGTCATTGTTGAGCACTTGGTTTAAAATGTTTAACGCGGGGGCAGATATGAAACTTTAAACTTTTTTTATTATCTTAAGATTAGGTTATTTTAACTTTATATCATTTTTAAAAATAACCAAGTTGGAAAAAATGATTTATTTTAAATATAAAATAAATTTTTTACTCATATTCTTAATAGAAACAACTTATTTTATCCCCCTGACTGTGTTCAAAAAAAGTTTGTCGCGGAAAGCTTTAATTATTAAAAAGCAAAACAAAACAATTTCATAGTTCTCTTTTTATTGTATTCTATTTTTGAATTTTTAAAAAAACCAATAAAAAATTTAAAAAAAAAAGAAAAGGTTTTAACGATTGGACTCAAACCTCGATAGATATTTCAGAATGTCGTCCGCTCGGTCACACTGGCAAATATTCCTTTACTAAATACTTAGATACATATAAAACACGATTGAATATTTTACATAAAATTACATAAAACTAATTATAAAAAAAAAACTTACTTATATTCAAAATAAGGTCGTCTTTAGCTTGTATAAAATTAACAGCCAGTCAAGAATCAATACAACACCTATAAAACAGAATGTTTCATTAAGTAAAACATTAAAAATTTAAAGTTCCGTAATTTTAAAAACAGATGCAAAAATACATGCTATTTTTTTAAGTATATACAATAATTATATCATTTATGACAACAATAATAGAAGATACAATGTCATTTCAAGAAATACAAAAATCTTACCGAGTAAACATTTGCAATGCCTCGTGCAGTTTGTTCAGATCAGTTTAAAGTGTTCAAGTTGACTCTTCCAATCACATACGGAGAATCATACTATTTTGATGGTTTTCTAAATTCTGTCATTGTTACGCACTCGGTATAGAATATTTAACAGGGGCGTTGTAAATTAGCTGTAAAACTCTAAATATTTTTATTACCTAAATATCGATAGTTTTAACTTTTTTTTCATTTTAAAAAATAATAAATTTCATAAAATAATTTATCTTAAATTTAAAAATTTTAAATATTTTTTAATAAAAATACATTTTTAAAACCCCCTTACTGTTTTAAATATTCAGGTCGCCGCGTGGCAAGTTCAAATCATCAGCTTGCTTTTTTTGTTAAATGCACTTTATAGATTTTATATTCTATATATACACATGTTATATACTCATTTTCCTTGCGCGAACTCAACTTAGTTGGAGAAATGTAAATGTAAAACTAAAATAACATGACGATTAAGCGCAACAAATTTCTCCTGTTTTTTGATGTTTTTAGAACTTTTAAGCTTTCTTTAAAAATTCTCTTTCTTTCGTTTGTTTAAGTGTAAAATATTTTTACATTTGTTAAGTATATAATCTCTATACATAATCTTTATTTCGTACTTTAGAAAAATCGAAAATGAATTTAAAAAGAAAACATGCCATAGGTAGGATTCGAACCATGGCTCTTCAGGTCAGCTGCCAGCGAGCTGACCACTAAGCTATGCCACTATGAACGATTGAACAAATTTTAAAAATATATAGTAAATAAAAGTCTTTATAAAACGACCATCGATCAAAATTAAGATGTTGCCGCAATGCAGTTTTCAAGTGAAAGTAAAACTTAAAAACTTGATACATGTTTTAGTATGTTTTGACATTTCACATTTTGAAGTTTACGTAAGTTAGTTATTAGCACACACTTTCGTTAATGTTTTCTTATAAAAAGGTGCTGCGACTCTTCCTCGCCAGTACCTCGGTTGCAATGGCTGCGTTGGGTTTTGTGTCAAACGTGCTCGAAAGGGAACTACTACTATTGAGTTCCGTATTATTATATAAAGATGATATGTTTCAGTTTTAATCCACAGAACACCCAAAAAATACATAAGTATGCAAAACACATTACTTGACACTGATCCTGTGAAAGCAAAAAAAAAAAAAAAAAAATTAAAAAAATAAATAAATTTTTTAACTGACATAATAAAACAGAAATGTATTATAATGGCACTTTGCTTAACATTTGATTTTTCTAATGTTTCTAAGTAGAATAAAGAAATTTATTAACAATAACATAGAAACTAATTTGCAATGTATAGAAAAACTAAAAAACCTGAAAACTAAAAAGTATTTAATGTTTGTAAACAAACAGCAACAGAATAGAAAAAAAAATTATTCTAACCTTGATTGCGACGTACTAATTTTTTTTTTACACTATTAGGTAATGATCAACATAGTAAAGTTTAAATGACAAAAGTTTACTTTAAGTTAAAACCATATTTTATTGTAGATAAAGTAAATTTATGATTGTTGGTAGAGCACTAAAGTAAAACTAAAGAAAAAAATAAAATTCAACTCAATTAAAATGCAGTTAAACATGAAAAATAACTCTACCATCATGAGAAAAGGTAAAATTATAAAAACAAACAAACAAACAACAACAATAAAAGAATATTTCTTTTTATTAAAAATAAGAACCTCTTATTTAAAAAAATAACAGATAAGGACACATCAATGAACAAATAGACTTATCGATTAAAAACATACAGAGTGAAAAAGCAATTTTGAAGTTCTTTCACAAATTTATTGTAAGTACTTATTAGATACCCCCTAATTCAATGATTATTGTTGATTATTATAATAATTATTAACTGCAATTTAAAGTATTCACAAAATCTAAACTGAAAATAAAGTATTATTCTGACACGGAGAATCATAAACACGGCCACAGCAGCAAATTATTTTAATATTTTGCATGTTCTGCTGACTAAAATATTGATGGTGTTTAGTGTAGAAACAGGATGTACATCTTTTCAACAACTTTAGATAAGAGTATTCTCTTCCTCTTTAATAAGGGGAAACCTTTTTTTCTTGTTCTGGGCCCACACTCTATGTACACTATAGGATGTGGGCTCTTATCTCAATTGATAAGGGCCCACATCCTTATTCTTATTGAAATTGCTAAACGATATTTTAATTTCATACTTAATTATAAAACCTAATTTTAATCTTGCAGAGATTGTTACAACTTAATTGGCTAAAATAAATATCGAAAAAGTAAATATAATTTAGAGCAATCAAATTATTAGTAAAATATCTCATAAAATAGAATAACACAATCACATTAGCAAAAAATAATGTTTTTCTTAATCAGTTTTAAAGATGAAGAAAAATTAGAAATTAAAGCCTACAATATGTTATAACCTGTGGCACTAAAATTAAAATACCAAACAAAATATTGTTATTTAATTTTAATTAACTAACAATATTTTGTAACACTTAACACATACACACAATAACACTTTACTAAATACTTAGATTCATATAAAACACAATTGAATACTTTACATAAAATTATTCAAAACCAATAAAAAAAAAACAAAAAAAAAACTTACTTATATTTAAAAAATGGTCGTCTTTAGCTTGTATAAAATTATCAGCCTGTCAAAAATCAATGCAACACCTATAAAACAGAATGTTTCATTATGTAAAACATTAGAAATTTAAAGTTCAGTAATTTTAAAAACAGATTAAAAAATACATACTATTTATATAAGTATATTCAATAATTATACTATTTATGACAACAATTTATGACAACAATAACTATATCATTTATGACAATAATAATAGAAGATAATATGTCATTTCAAGAAATACAAAAATCTTGTGTACACATTTTACAATGCCTCGTGCAGTTCAGTTCAGATCAGCTATAAGCGTTCGAGTTGACTCTTCCAATATTATACGGAGTATCATACTATTTTGATGGTTTTCTTAATTCTGTCATTGTTGCGCACTCGGTTAATAATATTTAACTGGGGCGTAGTAAAGTAGCTGTAAAACTCTAAATATTTTTTATTACTTTGATATCAGATAGTTTCAACTTTTTTTTCATTTTAAAAAATAATAAATTTAATAAAATAATTTATTTTAAATCTAAACTTAAATTTTTGAATTATTCTTTTAATAAAAATATACTTTTAAAACCCCCTTACTGTATTAAAAAAATTTTAGGTCGCCGCGTGGCAAGTTCATCAGCTTGCTTTTTTTTTTTAAATGCACTTTATAGTTTTATAGATTTTATATTCTATATATACATGTTATATACCCATTTTTCTTGCATAATCTCAACTTAGTTGGAGAAAACTTAAAATGTAAAACTAAAATAACATGACAAATAAGCGCAACAAATTTCTCCTGTTTTTTGACGTTTTTAGAACTTTTAAGCTTTCTTTAAAAATTCTCTTCCTTTTGTTTGTTTAAGTGCAAAATACTTTTACATTTGTTAAGTATATAATCTCTATACATCTTCAAAAGTGATTAGTTTTGTATTTTAAAAAAAATCAAAAAAGATTAAAAAAAAGAGTTCCAGGCACGGGAGTTGAACCCTGGCTCCCCTGATTAGTAGCTCAGCAAGCTGACCACGAAGCTACGCCGTCTCACCAATTAGAGACATTTTTAAAAATATATACTTAACGAAAAACTTTATAAAACAGCTATCGGTCAAAATTTAAGGAGATGTTGCCGCAATGCAGTTTTCAAGTGAAAGTAAAACTTAAAAACTTGATACATGTTTTAGTATGTTTTGACATTTCGCATTTTGAAGTTTACGTAAGTTAGTTATTAGCACACACTTTCGTTAATGTTTTCTTATAAAAAGGTGCTGCGACTCTTCCTCGCCAGTACCTCGGTTGCAATGGCTGCGTTGGGTATTATGTCAAACGTGCTCGAAAGGGTACTACTACTATTAAGTTCAGTATTATTATATAAAGATTATTATTATTGCTATTATTATTATTATTATTATTATTATTATTATTATTATTATTATATATATTTGTGTGTGTGTGTGTGTGTGTGTGTGTGTATATACATATAATTATTTTTTTAAATAACGCAATGTTTTTTATTCTTGACATTTTTTACAAAAATAAAACTCTGAAATAAATTAAAATTAAAAAATAGAAATCTTTACACAGAAATAACAACAAATTAAAATTTACATAGTAAACTGATATATTTATTACAAAATAAGTCGGTAAATAACTAACTGTAAAAAAAAAAAAAAAAGATAATGATAAACTGATAGTAAAATTAAATAGATAAGTTTATAACTTAATGTGAAGTTTGTTTATTAATTGAGAGACTTTTCCATTTAATGTGATGGGCTTCTTTTATTTTTAATTTGTGTTTTGTTGGGGCATTATCCAAAATCTCAAAAGAATCACAGTTAGCCAGATTTTTGAAATTATTAGATAAATTTAAGTGTTTAAATATATGAGATTGTTTATAACTTTTAAGGTGCTTATTAATTCTAGTTGCCAAATGTCTTTTAATAATCTTTTGAAAATGTAAATAAATTTTGCAAAACATTAGTAAGTGACCAGAACCCCGGCCCCAGCTAAAAATGCAACTTTTTGCAAACCTGGCCTCAGCAAAATTATTAGATTTAGCAGAGGTTGATAGCCGGGACTAAAAGAAAACTTATAATACTTAATATATTATAATTTTATGCTTACATTTACTATTTATTAAATACTGACATACATTTTTATTTTAAAATCTAATTTACTAATTAAAAAATTGAATTACTTATCACGCTGTAAAAAAAATTTATTGCATGAAAGGACAAATACAGTTAAAGGATGCAACTTGTTGAATAAATACCCAAGCGAGAAAGAGTTTTGGTTTATCTTTATAGAGATGATAGTTCTTTTGAGCATTGACTATGATTATATTTGTAGAAAAAAGAAAGAAATGCAACATTATAACAATGGGAAAGTCGTTTAAGCTTGAAAGATAAAGCAGATCTAATTACATTTATGATGTGCTTTTCGACTTTGTCTCAGAGTAATAGGGTTTTCATTTGTCAATATAGGAATACCAACAATATTGCAATATTTTTTTGTAGTAAATAAATGAATTTTGTTGTCTAACAAATATTGTGGATTTTAAGTCCAGATTTTAAATCCATAAGACACAGCAAGCCTTAGGTTATTACAGAGG